TTTTTTTTTTTTTTTTTTTTTTTTTTTTTTTTGTAATTATCGTAGACAATATTTTTGCAACACAGTTTTAACATAAGAAAGTTTTTTAAGCGAACATCTGTTGTTTTTTGGTCGACAGCTTAATGTTCTATCTACTGCCTACGGCCGAAGTAGACAACTGAATTTAGCAAGTCTTAACCTTTGTTTACCGCTTTTTTGACATTCAGAAATCTTGATGAATTATTATTGCTATAAACAGTGTTTTCAGCGATTTAATTCAGTTATTATTGCACCTTCCACTATGAATTGTTGGTTTTTAGCTGTACTCATTTTCAGGTCTTCAAAGTAGTCTCATTTTATTCATTTTTGGACGTCTGTTAAACTCTCAAATGAACCACTAGTGGATTCAGAAAGTTGGGAAATAACCCAGTTGCTCGGATGTTTGTTCACTGGTCGCCCCGTTTAGTATCTAGTTGATTAGCCTAGGCGGACTTTTTCTTATTCTTATCTGCAAGTGTAAATAACCGTAATACAGTCATCTTCATGAAGAACTCAGCTTTCATAAAAAGGATCACATGCCTCGTATTGCTTTCATTTGCATCTATTGGATACCAAAGTTTTTATCATTTCACACTGTTTTTTGCATCATTGGTTATGAATGCGGCCTTCGCATTTCGCAGAAAGTTTCCCTCTTCTGGATGGTGGGTAACTTTATCTATTGTTTATATATTTCTTCATTTCGTGTTGCTCTTCTTTGTACAGACGCCGCCAGTTCGAGATCGTATTCATGATGTTATTAAAAGGTAAGGAATGTTGTTTTTTAAACATTGATATTTCAATAATTTATAACATTCTGGTTTTTTATCGAAATTTACTTTTTTAGTATCTTCTAATACGCCATTTCCCTGTTTTTCAGAACCATATTATCCGTTTCTTTTTTCGCAGTTTCTGTAACCGAAATAAAAATTTCTGAAACATTTCAAAAAAACCTGGAGTCGCGATCTGATAGGTCGAAATTGTTCAGTCTACCTTAGAAACAGAAAACATTCAAGCTTTCTTAAAAATTGGCAAAAATTTCAGATCTCTAGGTCTTGTTGATGTGATATGTTTCGGTAAAACTGAGTGTGAGAGGCCGAATGTGACGTTTTATTTTGGACTTGTTTGCGAGTTGTGTCTAATCTTCTTGCTTGCCTGGAATCGGGGGTAAATGATTAAACTTTTCTATTATTCGCTTGAGTATCGCATCAGAAATTTTTTCTTTTTATTTTTCCTTTTTTTTGGAAATCAGCACGTTTTACTGAAAACGTCCGGGACATATTCAAGGTGGCCAGCATAATTAACTTAACTTTGATTTTTACTCGTGCTCTACAATTCTGCAATCATGCATACTTTTTGATCGTTGTTAAATTCTGATTGTGTTTCCTTCTGGTATGTCACGTAAGAATTCTGTTCAGGGTTTCCACGTCTCGATTTCAGTACGAAACGGAGAATAGGAAGTCATGGCGACATCAAATTTACTTGATCTGTCCAATTACTATTTTACTTTGGTCCTTATTTTTCCCATCATGGCTGAGTTTTGTTTGGCTTGTATCTTCTTGGTTTTTGTTTTCACGAATAAGTGAGCGACGTCACCGTCTAACAGTTGCACCTCTGCTAGTTGCTTATGCTTCGGTAACATGTTTTGCCTAACTTGTGGTATTACATACACTTTTTGTCTTTCTTCCAAATTTGGGATGCGACGTGTACGCCTCAAAACCTTGAAGGATTTGGAACTATGTTGAAATTCCTTTTTTTAGTTCCTACTGATAATTAATTACATTTGCTGTCTTGCTAACTTTTCTGGGGTGCAAGTAAAAAAGATTGGACTTCATTCTGTAACTGGAAAAGATGCATTTTACTCGTTGCTGTTGAAGGTAAGCTGTGTTTTGTTAGGATTTACTTAAGTAACATTTCGTTCAAAATAATAGTGGTTTTTGTTTACTTTACTTAACATCGTTTTAGGGAGTTTTATGGTTTCATGTGAGCTAATAATACCGTTGTAAGCTGGAAAACAGAGATGAGCAAAGAAATAAAATGAATAGGCATTGATTTTTCAAACTGAGGTAGAGTAATACTAGAACAACAAAGAGGAAACATGCGTTTATTCATTGAGTACTTTCAGTACATGCTTTACTGGATGATTATTTACTCTAGTCTTAAATTTTCTTATTAAATGCAGAAGACTTATTTTCTTTCGTGAGAAATTCCAGAATTTGTCGGTTTGGTAAAGTTGGGAGTTCTTTCTGATTCTTATTTTGGTATGTCTTTCGGTTTTTTGTACGTATGCGGAAAGTCACTTTACAAAAATTTAAGATCCTCTTCACTTTGCCGTTTTATACAATGAGATATTTCGATGGCGGAAGTTTAGATGGTCCTTGCGAAAGCACACAAAGAGAAGCAACTCCCGTGGATTATTCTGCTGTGCAGTGGGTTGCCCCTTTTATATGTCTATTTACATGTGAGGTGTAATTTGGAATATTAGTGTACTTTTCTGTCTAGTTTGCTTGTTTAATAATCGCTGGGATTTAATAATGGAAGATAATTTAATTACTGCTTGTCTCAAGTGGTATATTTTAGTTTTATATTTGAAAAAAAGGAAATTTAACTACCTATTAATACTGTTTCAAACGTGTTTTGGGGTAGTGTAGATGTTTTTGAATTCATATTAGAGGATAGATACTGTGAACAAATCGTTATTAGGCATATTGTACGTTTGTCTTCGTTACTTGTTTCTACTTCAATTTGGCGACTGGTCTTCGCTGGATGAGAATCACTGGTTAGGTGATGGTACTATTGATCTGCTCCAGAAGTTATGGCTTCCCATAGTGTTTATTATTTTCATAATATTCATCCATCTTAGAAGGTATTTTGTTTTGAAATATTTTTTAATATCTGATAATTTTTTTTATAACTGTTTGGTTCATCCTCTTCCTTGAGGTTTCTGACTGGTTCCTGACTACTAAATTGTGTAATTGTTTAGTCCCCTATTTTTTTGTCTCTCGTAAGTTTGTCGTATGGCATTCTTTAACGAAGCGAAATTTTTGCATTAATAGCTTTCATTGCTTGTTACAGACTCGAACATCCGTTTGATGCGGCATGGTCACCGTCGTCTTTGATGTCAAAATTGTTTTCGACTTATTGCGATGCCGTGATATCTGTGCTCTTGAGCATTTTTGCGGCTTTTAATGTTTCTGCTATTGGTCTTATTCTCTTCCTTCTTTCAGTTGTGATATTTGTTGCTACACCAAAAACAAGTATGCCTTTTTGCATTTCAAACGGTCATAAGAACGTGCAAGTAGCGAAAGTTGTACTGCATCGAAATCCTACTTTTTCGGTTCTGAGTTAAAAAGTTTTGAAAGAAGCTTTACAGTAATATATTCAGGATATGTATTTATGAATTCAGCACTGTATTTAATTGTATTTGGGCTTTCAGGGGGTATTGCCTGTTGTGCGGCATGCGTGTTACTCGCAATTCTCTGGATGCTTTCCTTCTTAACCTCAGCTTTATTCTTACCTTCCTATAGTTATCCAGAAAACTGTTCGGATGTTTTTCATCTTGATCAGAACACTGTGGAATGGGTGGGGATTTCTTCAGAACAAGTAAGTTTCTCAATTTTTTTAAGGGTGTCCTCTTTTTCTCCAAAGAATCATGTTAAAAGATGTTTGTTCACTAAAGTTCTGCCATTTTTACAAATGAAGTCGATCAATTTGCTGTTCATTATTTTTAACATAGTAAGTTTTTAACATTTATTTTGACACTGCCATGCATTTGTGAACGTTCTGTAAGCTTGTAGAATTTCAGTTGTGGACCATCAGTGTTCTTCTTTTTCTTTTGTCCTCAAGATGTGTCTTTTATATCGAGAAAAGTGTTTGGTTAGCAGATATAAAAAGAGCTGATGCAGAAAAGGTATGCATATAAGCATATGTTACATTTAGCTTTTGAATTACAATATTTTATTGTTTTCTCAGCTGTTTTGACATCTGTTATTTAAGGGTGTATCGCTGGCTGCAAAATATCTGGTGAAGTTCTGGATGCACAAATTCGGTCTTGAGGTATATTACTGAATTCAGTATTTTTTTCTTGCGATATAAGGTAACTCGTTGTTAACAAAGTTGTAGCTTTTTGTTAAACTTCTTATTTGTAAAAATTGGAAATTGCATTTTAGATCTCTTTAACTTTTGGACTTGCTGTGACAACCATTCATCATGACATAGTGGGTCTTCTTTTCTTCATCTCCATAGTTCTCTTCAGACTTTTGTCCCACCGGCGACGTTCTTTCTTTTGGCCTTATTATGTGCAATTTTTACTACTGGTTGTCATAGTAGAATATCTTTCTGCTCTTAGTATTCCTCATCAGGTATTTACAAGTCGCTATAATTTATATTTCAATATTACCCTTTTTAAATTTGAAACGTGTTTAAAAATTGCTTAGAATGCAGTACATGCTGTTAATCGTTAAGCGTTTGAATTAGAAAATTATAGCTTATTTTCTTACGAGGCTTACAGTTTTTACATCCTACAAGAATTTCAGTTTCTACGTTGCATCAACTTCTTTTGGAAAAGTTGGGATGTTTCATGGAGAAATTACTTAGTACTTCCTCCTTCATTCAACTCCCCCATTGTTTTAATGTTGGATTTTATTTATGTTTTGCTCGCTTTAGCACAGAAGGAAGTTTATGAAAGAGAGGTTGTTTTTAATGAATTTATATTTCCATTCATCAGCCATGAATTGCTTTTCTGTTATATCTGAATTGACCTTGGTTTCCACGATTAAGGGGAGATCAGTATACAGTTGTCGTGAGGTTTTTAATTGCCATTCATGTTTTACAGGACGACCACCCTGGTGGAGATAATGTTCCACTTTCGGAGCTGTTTGTTTATAAGCCGACTGTTCAAACGTCAGTGCCCCCGTTATATAAAGATTTTATTTCAATGAAAGGGTGAGGCAACTTTTATTAATTTTGTACATTTTGTTTGGTTTTGCTTACAGCTTTGTTTTTTTTTTTTTTATTTTTGGAAGGGTAAGGAGCGAAAAGGGAAACGTTTGGCATCTTTTAGTTACTTTGATCTTTATTCAAAAATGCAATCAATTGTTTGAGTGTAGTTTGGATTAGAATTCAGTTTGCACTATTAACTTATTATACTTGGATTTCTTGCACTGAACTTTCTTTCATGTAGATTACGTACTGAATATCAGATATTTTATTTATCAAGCCTAATGAGTGGAAACTCGTGCTGATGAAGGTCAAGGAAGGATTTGAAAATAAAGCAAGAAATTTTTAGGAATCTCTTGGCTTATGTGCATTCTGCTGTATTTCTTTACTCACACTGGGTAACATTAATTTTGGTCCTCATATGCGGCATCGAAGGGGGCTCATTTTTAGCTTATACATATATTGTGGCAGTTTTTGTTCTTCTTTGGATGGACACTCATCTTTATTCCAATTATTCTTTTCATCGGTTTCTCCTCTACTGGAATATTCTCGTTTACTACAATCTTATTGCTCTGACAGTCAAATTGTTTTACTTTGTATGTTCTGTTTCTTTTCAGCTTTGCAGTTCCAGCTTGTTCAAAGTTCTATCGTTTTTAGAATTTTAAGAGTTTTTACTGCGCCTTTTAGAACTCTGCTTGCTTTTTGGATGCTGGTTTACCATGTTGGATGGAAAACTTTCTTGGTTTGCGATGCGCGTCGTCTTCGTGTAGACATAGGGGGCCTGCTGCAATACTCATTTACGACGTAATATGTTTCTGTGCTCTTATTTTTCAAGTTCGGATTTTTAATTCTTGGTATTTTCAACTTGTTATTGCGGATTATAGGGCCGATCGTATTCTGGGCTCAAGGTAAATCTTTTGAATATTTCTTAGTAATTAGTTGTTCCTGTTGATGTTTCTTTTGCTGTCTTTACTTTTTTACTTTTTGTTAGGGACACGATGATTTGAGATTTTGGCATATAATTTGAGGTTTCTTTTCACTGAGGTCTTTTTAAGAGGAGCAGAGTTGTTGTTGGAAATGAAAACTCGTGAAAAGCGAAGGAGTGAACGTAGGTTGCATTCAAATGTTAACTGGATCGAACTAGTTGTCACTGCTGAGGATCGAGTGAAACCGGAATCTGATGATCTTCCACCTTCCACACATGAAGAAATAAAAAGGTGAGTGGTGCGTTTTGCAAAAGGTAGAAAGGATTTTTCTCATAAAAATTTGGTATTCTTAATAGTCTTATTTTCTCAAAACTTGATTAAGTTGACTAGACAAAGTTCGTTCAATCGGTTCACTGCCTCCTCGGGAGTCTCGCGAAATCCCGATATATTGCATCAAGAGAGGAGGATAATATTTTGGCATATAGACCTTTGAATTTTATTTTGTTTTATTGAATTATTTATTGATTTTTAACTGTGATTTTATAGAGCTTGTGTTTCTTTAATTTTTGTAATTTTTTCTCATATAGACGACAGAAGGTTCTGATTAGCAGATTGCTAAGCATTGGAATTTTTAACAGAGAAGGTGTAGTAAGAAACTTATTTTTTGCTTCAACTTTCACTTACGTTTATTTGTGCGCAGGTGCTGTTTTTCATTCTGTCGCAAATCGTGTGAATTAGTTGTTATTTTTGAGTTTTATCGGTCTTTATATTGTTTGCAGTGTTGGTGACTGTTTCTTAATATTGTCTCTTTGCTCTTATTTTATTTTTTTATTTTTTACTGCAGTCTTTCTTTTATTCTAAAACACTTCCTCTGAGGTAGAATGAGGGAAAAGAACAGGAAGATGAGAAGGGGTTTGAAAATTGGGCTAATTGAGAGACTAATGTAAGTCACACTTTGAGGGAATGAGGGGAGCTGTTTTCAGTTTTTTGCTACCTGATTTCTCGTTTTATCTGTGTTGTGGTGCACGCAGAGTAATTCTTTTTGTAGCTTTCAGGTCGGGTTATTACCACCAAATGGGCGAACGATTTTTCCCACGAAATGCTTTAAGAGACGGAGATACAGAAACTGCTCGTCGTTTTTCCTGTATTGCTCAGGAGATGGATATACCTATTCTTCGAGAACAAGAAGCAACGATGGTAGAAAAAACTGTTGAGGTTGGTACATGAAAATTTTTTACGTTCTGCGGCTTTTTCCCTTTCTCTTAGATCAACTTCTCACCTTGAAAAACTTATTTTTGCTGAAGGAAACAGTATTCTTTTTTTAGTTTTAGACCAAATGCATTGTTTTTTCACGCGTCAATTTTTGTATTTTTCCTCTCTAATGCTTTATTGCTGACTTTCATATTTGTTTAAGATTCTTGACAGCGTTCGACTGACACTGCGTCACCTGCTGCACCAGATTAATAATCCTGAATGGCTTTTTCGAATTTCTAAAGGACATGCATATATCGCTTATGTCCTTGAAAATGACAAGAGAAGAATAAAATCTATTTTGGGAGAAGTATGTTTGAGAACTGACTTTTCTAATTCGGTAAAAATAACGATGATAAAAATACATTTCAATTTTTTCATGAATTTTTCTGTTTCCTTCATTGGCATTATAGTGCAAAGTGACAACCAATATCTTTTTTTTGGTGGTAACTTTTAAAGAACTAATCACAGTCTTTTTGTGCTGTTTCATGATCTTTCATAGCTTTTTCCGATTTATACCACTGATTTGAGAAGTAAATACGATAATAGGATGATTTTTACTGGTTAAAAGGTAACATAGTTTTTGCTGTACGGTAACTAAGGTGAGGCTGGAGATTTTTGTGGATTTTTTTAGAGTAGGAAGTCGTATTAAATAACTTGAAATTGCTGAGTGACAAAATAATACTTCCTTAAGCTAATTAAGCAAAGCAAAAGCTTCTGTGGTTTTCATTAATGTATCGTATGCAGGTTCATTAATTCTGTGTTAACTTTTCTAACCGTAAGTTATTAAACAGCAGTTTATTTGTATAAGTTGCAGCGTCTCCTGACTGCTGACTCAGGACCAAAATTAGAATCACTTCGTCAAGAAATTCTACAAAATGGTGATTTTTCTATAAATGATTTGTCTCCACAAATACTGACTCAAGAAGCTCTCGATGAATGGCAATCTATTCATCCGGCCTTTAAACTTCTTTATTGGTAGGTTCACCTCAGACTACGAATAAGAAAAACTGCGCAGTTGGAATTGTTTTCTTTAGCTGCTGCTTTTTTGTCTCATACAGTTTTTTGAGGCGAAAAGGAAGGGTAGGAGAAAGAAGGGCTGGTCAAAAGGGAAG